ATGTCTGGTGTGAGTGTGTCAGATCTTCTGGAACTGGAGTTACAGACAGTTGTGAGCTGTCGTGTGGGTATTGGGAATTGAACATGGGTCCTCTAGAGGACCAGCCAGAGCTCTTAACCGATGAATCATCTGTCCAGCCTGGGCTGCATATGTTTTATTTCAATTATATAATAAGATTTTATCATAGCTCTCAGAATCTAGTAGATAAATACATTAAAAAATGAACTGGTGGGCTGGAGAGATGGCTCAGTGGTTAAGAGCACTGATTGCTCTTCCAGGGGTCCTGAGTTCAATTCCCAGCAACCACGTGGTGGCTCACAACCATCTGTAATGAGATCTGGTGCCCTCTTCTGGCCTGATGCAAACAGAACACTGTATATATAACAAATAAATAAATCTTTTGTTTTGGAGGCTGTCCTAAAACACACTCTGTAGACCAGGCTGGCCTGGAACTCACAGAGATCCGCCTGCCTCTGCCTCCCGAGTGCTGGGATTAAAGGTGTGCGCCACCACCGCCTGGCCAGCACTACATCTTACACTCCCCGGCATGGTCTCGCCCTGTGGGAAAGCAGTTCTGAAACATGTAAGTACGCCTTGGATAAACACACAGGCACATGAGCAGCCATTGCATTCATGTCTCTGCAAGACAGGGTCTGGAGGGATCTTGACCCTTGCAGCAGGGGAGGTGTCCAATAAAGGCTTCCAGGAGGAGGGGGAGGAGGAAAAGGGGACAACTCTGCTCAAATCTGGAAGGCAAAGGATGCTTGAGGCCAAGCCCCGGAAGCCATAATTAATGTCCACACAGCCCTGTGCATAGGGACATGAGGGACCTTGAATGTCATTCCCATAGAGTAAGGATCCTATCTTCCCCTAAAGAGAAGTGCTTAAACATTTTAAATGGGGGGTGGGCAAGAAGAACCCTGTGTAGAGATGGTGAGAAGGTACCTACATCAGGACTGAAGCGGAACCCTGTGCCTCCTCTCTTGTCACCCTGGAAATAATCACTCTAGACCACATCCCTCAGCTAAGTAGTGCAGAGCAGAGCTCTGCAAGCCCAGTGCAGAGACAGCGTCAGCAGAGCGTGTGGGCCTGGGCGGGAGCAATGAGGGCGTCGCCAAGGGATGCAGGGATCTGGTGGGATGAAGTAGAGGATGTCCTGAGGTTAGTTAGAGTGGTGGCTGTGTATCACAGACCACACCTGCTGAGTGAACTTTAAAAACCCGTACACGTTGTATCTTGATAAACCGTTGTTTAAAACATAAGTTACTAAAATCAGTTTTTAAAAAAGATAAAGAAGAGCATTTCATACTCATCACAGGAAAAATCCACCAAGAGAGATTCTCTTTTTGTTTGTTTTTTGAGACAGGGTTTCTCTGTATTGTTTTGGAGGCTGTCCTGGAACTCGCTCTGTAGACCAGAGCTGGTCTCGAACTCACAGAGATCCGCCTGCCTCTGCCTCCCGAGTGCTGGGATCAAAGGCGTGCGCCACCAGTGCCTGGCCCAAGAGGGAATCTCAATTCTGAACATCTATATCCCAAACACAGGGGCTCCTGCATTTGTTAAAAAAAAAGAAAAGAAAAAACTTAAATTTTATTTATTACATATGTGAGGATGGGTGTCTGTGTCCCACAGCACCCGTAAGGAGGTCAGATGATGACAACTTTCAGGAGTCAGCTCTCTCTAACGTCGGTTCTGGGGGTTGAACTCTTGTTATCTCGCCAACCCTGAAAACATTGAATGGGGGGGGGGGTGATGGTAAAGTTGGTGTTCCTCCTCTCCCCACACGGGGGAGCCTGTGAAACAACCAATCTGGTAAGGGCGTGAGAAGTTGCTTATGCGATCTCCCTACCATCCAGCAGGTGGCAGCGTGACACTGCAAAACCCCATCTCTCCTTGTATCGCACGGATTACAAATTGGCTCTTGTTTTGTTTGTTTTATTTTGTTTGTTTTTGAGACAGGATCTCGTTATGTATCTCTGGCTGTCCTGGAACTTACTATGGAGACCAAGCTGGCCTCAAACTCAGCGATCCACCTGCCTCCCAAGACTTGTGCCACCAAGCCTAGCAACCAATCTTGCCTATTACAAACAGGTGGCTGGCTACCATCCCAACCCCTGGTTCTCCCCAGCTGGCCCTTCAGAGCTGGTGATGGGTGATATTGAATGTTCTTGATTAACTGATGTCTGTTTCTTTCCCGTTGCTGTGACAATCACCCAGACAAAAGTAACTTAGGGGAGGATGGGTTTGGTTTTGCGCGCTGTGAAAATACAGTCCGTCATGGTGAGGAAATCAGGGTGGTGGGGGTCTGAAGCAGATGATTGTATCACATCCACAGTCAGAATAAGACAGCAACCGATACATGCTGATACATGCTGATACACGCCGATACACGCCGATACACGCCGATACATGCCGATACATGCTGATACATGCCGATACATGCTGATATCCCAGGGAATGTATACACCCTATCCACCGGGGATCTATCTGACCATTTCGACTGTCACAGTCAAGATAACCCCCCCACACACAGAAATATCTAAAGTTCTACCTCCCAGGTGAATATAGATTCTGTCCAGCAGGCAGTTAACACTAACCATCTAACTGAATGGCGTGTCTGCTCTCCTGCCTGGGAAGTTTAGGAAGCTCAAGGCCCATCTCAACACAGACACAGGGCATAGCTTTACTGCAATCTCCTTGGCAATGCCAAACAGCAGCCATGGTTAAATCCTTGTCCCAGGCGATGCACGAAGACTCACCTCATCCACGGCCGTGACCTAGATTCTGGGGCATCCTGCCGACGCGCCCACCCCATAACATGTCCATGTCCTCACAACATCCACTCAACATCGCCCAAGGGCCACACATTCGAAACGTCCACGGAGGCCATCCTCTATGCACAGGCTGAGACCTGGACCACAACCAAATGGTGCATTCTCCCTAGCCTTCCACATTGCTTTGGTCAAGTCCTCTGGACAGTTCTACCGGACTGGAGCAGACAACAGGCAAAGGTGCCTCTTCTCTTTCCCACCTGGACAGCTGTGGCCAAGGGAGTGGTCTTAAAAATACTCTCCTGGGATGACTCCCTGAAGACCAACCTCCCTGGCTTCCAAGAAGACAGACTCGACAGTATTAGCCACCGCCTCTCCATGTCTGGATCCCAACGGCCCCTGCTGCTGGTCTTGTGGGCCTCGCCCCTTCTGATTGCCTAATGTGCCCCACATCCCAACCCCTGGGCCTAACCCACACCTCACTTTCAGATCTGGGCCCAATCACACTGGGTTCTCCACCAACTCCCACCCATACCTGCCATTATCAGCCCAGGGGCAAGCTCTTGGAAAAGGCCTCACACAGAGACCTCGTCCTTTGGGTCAGGACATCTTTCTAGGTGACGGCCTGCCCTCCACGACATAGCTGGCCATGTAGTGAGCCAGTTCAGAGAAGTCTGGCCTCTCTCTTTTCCAAGCCCAGAGCCTGGTGATCCTTAAGCATGTATCCATACATTTATGTCTGTGTTCTCTGGGGGAGGAGGTTGAGATAGGGTTTCTCTGCGTAACAGCCCCGGCTTTCCTGGAACTCACCTTACGGACCAGGCTGGCCTCCAGCTCAGAGATCCTTCTGGCTCCGCCTCCTGAGTGCTGGGATCAAAGGTGTGCGCCACCACGCCCGGCTCTCGAATACTGGCGACATAGAGCCCCAGAATCTTCCAGGAAACACAGGCTCTCACCCATTCACTTCACAAACGTGCATCATGCGCTCTATGCAGCCTTGGAGACTGACTGCTCAGCAATGAATCATTTTCTCTTCCTGGTGAAACTCAGAACAGAGAAGTTCATTGACACTGCCAAGGTCACACAGCATGCATGAGCTTCTGAGTGATTCTGCACTGTGCTGGAAGCCAGAGTGACGCCCCCCCATCTTCCGCCTTTCCACCTCTTCCTGAAACTATGGAGTCCTGGGGGGGGTCACACCCTGGGAGGCTCTGTGCAAAGTACAAACACAACCAGTGGAAGGCTCCTAGTGTTCTGTAGGTAGAAAGGCAGCCTCCTATCTCCTGTGGTATCAGAAACTCCACCTGCCCTGCCCCTCCCAACCTCAGACAGTCTGAGCCTCCAGTATGCAGGGTAGAGACCCCAGCTGCAAGGCTCCCACTCCTACTGGAAGGATGAGCTAATGCCCTGCACAGCCCCTCCTCCTGAGCGGGGCCGACAATATTGGAAACAGACATTCTGGACCAGTTTGGGGCACACAAAGCACTCAGATCTAGGCTACCTGTTGTGTGGGGGCGGGGTCTGGGCTGAAACTGAGGCCTGGACAGACAGCTGCAACCCCAGTCGCTCACCGACAAGGAGTCTGGACGATTCTCTTCTCCAGCGATCTCTGATCAGCCCTCAAATTCCAGTTCCTCCTCTTCCCCAGTCAAAACTGAGAAAATCCACCCTGTTCCTCCCCCAGGACAAGACTGGGACTCTTTCACCTGAGAAGTCAAGTGAGGGAACCGAGAGGCTGTCCATTCCGAGCAAAAGGTTTCATCCCAAATGCCCATCCTGACCTCAAACCAAAACTCAAGGAGACCGCCGGAGCCACACGGGGATGCACTTGGAGCCACAGACCTGGCTAAGGGATTGAACGCCTTCAGGAAAGTGATAACTCAGCCTGTAGGGCCAGGGCCAGTTCCGCTCGGTTTCTGTGGGTGGGGACCCAAAACCAGGCAAGACTGAAGCCAGTGCCCCAGGACCGAGTTTTTGGGGTGGTGACCCCCCCCAAGAAAACAAGAGATGGCAGTTGAGGCACCAAGAAGCCGGCAAGGCGCCCCCGGGTCCTCAGAGTCCTATCTGCAGGCTTGTACCTCTGCTTAGCGAGTGGAGCGGGCCTGGGAAGACGCGGGCAGCAGGTCCCCTCTGATTGGACGAAGCGAAGCCCCAGTCGGCGCATTAGAAGCTTAAAAACGAAACCCGGCCAGGCAGGAGCTAAAGCGACCCGGCCGGCCATGCGCCTTGGCGAGGAGGTGCAGAAGGCGTGGCGGGCTGGAGAGGCCACGCGGAGGTCCAGGGACCCACCGACAGTCGGGCAGCGGGACGCGCCCGCAGGGCAGGAAGCCGCACTGAGGTAGCAGGCTCCAGAGGGTCATGGCCGAGCTCAAGTCGTTGTCGGGGGACGCGTACCTGGCTCTGAGCCACGGCTACACCGCGACCGGCCACGCCTACGCAGCGGCGCGCGGACCAGAGACTACACGCGGCTTTGGTGCATCGGGTCCAGGTGGGGACCTCCCCGCGGCGCCTGCTTCCCGGGTTCCCGCCGCGACGGTCGAGAGCAGCGGCGAGCAGAGCGGCGACGAGGACGACGCCTTCGAGAGGCGGCGGCGAAGGCGAGGGCCCGGGGTCTCGGTGGACACACGGCGGCGGCCCCGGGAGCAGCGCTCGCTACGGCTCAGCATCAACGCCCGCGAAAGGCGACGGATGCACGACCTGAACGACGCGCTGGACGGGCTGCGCGCGGTCATCCCCTATGCGCACAGCCCGTCGGTGCGCAAGCTCTCCAAGATCGCTACGCTGCTGCTGGCCAAGAACTACATCCTCATGCAGGCTCAGGCCCTGGAGGAGATGCGGCGCCTGGTGGCCTACCTCAACCAAGGTCACGGCCTCGCTGCGCCTGTGGCCGCCACGCCACTAACGCCCTTCGGCCAGGCAGCGGTCTACCCTTTCTCAGCCGGCGCGGCGCTCGGGCCCTGCCCAGACAAGTGTGCCGCCTTCTCCGGATCGCCCTCGGCGCTTTGCAAACACTGCGGCGAGAAGCCCTGACGGTGCCGAGACCCAGCACAACCGCCTTTCTATTTAGGCTATCCATTGTCCTCCCTGGCGGGACCTTATGGCGGAAAGGCAGCCGGACCCCGGACCCTGCTTGCAGAACTGTTGGGTGCAGGACGCGAAATCGGTCCAGCCAGAGACTCACTGTATTCCAGACCCCGCCGCATCCACAGAACTCTCACAGCGTCTGCTGGGCGTTGCCAGCGCTCTAGGCGGTGAGAATGACAGGTTACCAGCTGTGCGCCAAAAGAAAAACCACGGGAGGGAACCGGTAGTAGCTGGTCCCACTTCTGACAGGTGACTGCCCAAAGGCTTAGGAAAGCGGGCAAGGAGCTTCACTTGACCACTTCCTAGGGATCGTCCTCTGCCCCAATCCCTTCTAGGCCAGCCTGCAGGGCCTTGTTCCTCCAGATGTGTTCCGCAGGACGCGTGTGGCCCCTCACTGGGGGGCCTCTGATGGCTCCAAGACTCCAGACCCAGCCCCTGAGCGAGATTCTGCCGCCGTCCTTTGCAAAGGACTTGAGGGCAGACTTAGGAAGAACCCAGGAGATGAGATTTGCAGCATTTTCCAAGTCTGATTTTGTTCTGCTAACATTCTTTCCTGCCCAGAGGCTCAGGAAACTCATTCTGGCCTCAAAGTCTGTGGACTTATCCCTAAATACACCCGGATCGCCAGCGCCTGCCTCCTGCGGGCTGGGATGGGCGTCGTTTCGTTCTGTTTGTTTCGAGGGAACTGATGGAACACGGGTCCTCACAACTTGCACGGGGCTACTTGACCCTGGAGGGTCAGCCGAGGACTTCAATCTATATTCAGGACCTGCCAAGTCCCTCTGCGCCAGTTCGGGAAGTTCTGGAGAAAGCCGGGCTACCGGTGAGTACACGGCGCTGGACTGAATGGTAACCGGTCGCTCACAAAGTCGGACTGCAACCCAAAATCTTGTCACTGTACCTAGTCGGAGCCTTAGCCCGGGAGCCCGAGATGTTGGTTTTTGCTCAGTGGCCCTCAGCAGCTTCCGCCTCTGTTTACCCAATTATCTGGCCTTTGTAGATTCAAAGCATAGTGTGGGAGAGGGCTGCCGCCCTGCAAAGCGCCTGTCTATAGCGCTTAACTTTCACGGATGTATTTGAAAAGGCCCTTTTGTATTTGCAAAATGACGTGTGTGATTGTCTTATTCATAAAGACCTATGCTTAAATACTAGTTTCTGCTCATTTCCATTTTTCTTATTTCCTAATTGTCTTTTCCGGTCTCCTAAACTAGTCTGCTTTGCGCATTTCAGAAAACAGACTGTTTTTCAAGTTCTCTTAAGATGAACAGGGAAAACTGGAAACTCCAGTGTTGTTAGTTCTGGGGTCGTTAACCATCATTATTAGAAAAAAAAATACTGTATTTCTGTTAAGACCAGGGACGGTGTGCAGAATAAAGTATTTGATTTCGGCTTATTTTGCAAAAAAAAAATATTATTAAAATTTCACATCAAATTAAGTGTCCATCTATGCCTTGATTTGTAATTTCAATCTTCAGGCAATGATACGGATGTGGGACCCTTCTTTTAGAGGTCCCCCAAGAAATCTCTGAGATTTTTTTAAGGTGGATCCATATGCCACTAGCAGAGTACCTATGAGAAAAGTGATGTAAATTGACACACACAAACCAGTGATCCCAGTCTGCAGGAGACCGAAGCAGGATGAAAGGGACTTTGAAGTCAGCCTTAGAGAGATCCTCTCAGGGGGAAAAATAATAACAATAACTTTGAAAAAGAAAAGGGGAGAAAAATCTTTTCCCTAGGAGTCCTAAAGGGCTGGGTGGCTCACGCTTGGGAGGTGGAAACTGGGGAATTGTTTCAATTCAGTTCAGTCTCAGCCTGAGCTAGACAAGACAAATAACAACCCCTCAAAAAACAAACAAACACACAAACATCAAACCTCTATTTTACTAACAAAAATATCCCCAATTACTAACCTTAAATAAAAGTTCAAATTACATCGGAGCACCTCAGAATTGCAAGCTGCTCTCCAAATATCAGCAGAACGTTCCACTGGGATGAATGGGTAAGGCAGAGTGTTTCAAAGTAAAACTCGAGTCCGTAGCATTCTTAATCGTGGCCATTGATAAAGCAATACGGTATTAGTAAAAATAAAAATAAACATTGTGGCCATTAATAAAGCAGCCTGGAGTTGCACAGACAGCTTGGATCTGAGGCTGCCCTCCACAGCCTCGGCACTGAGCAGCAAAACTCAGCCAGCAAGGGTGCCTGTTGTTAAATGTGGCTCTTTTGAAGCAGCCTCTGGTTGTTTCTTGCTCCTGTGGGTGAGAATCACTGAGCCCTTGGGGAAGGAAGTTTCCTTTACACCTGGGGTTTGAACTGGCACTCTGCGGAGCTCATTGCCTCTTTTGCTTTTACTTTTGTGATTGTTCTTGTTTTGTTTTTTAAAGAAAGTAGTTGTGGCTGTGTTAAGGTACAAGGCAGTGTCCCCCAGGCCTGGGCTCTTCCCTCCGTGCTGAATCAGCCTGCCCCGCACAGGGAAGTGGGCGGTATGTGAAGCTTATCTTTCCCAAGTGACTGCGCACAAAAAAACGAACAGAAGTGGGTGAAATCACTTTCATTGGCAAAGTTTATGCCTCCACATGTAATCAAGACAGGCTTCGATTTGGAGCTCACTCGCCTCTGCTCCGACCGGAGATGCTTCCGGTGTTCCGTGCTCCTCCGTGGCTCATGGCCACAGTGGCCTTGGCACAGCGCCAGGCTGTGACTATATGTAAAGCATTGAAATCCCCTTTGCTTCTCTCCTTTGTCTAGAAGTTACCAGGAAATGCCACAGAGCTGGAGGACAGACTCTAAGGCCAGGCAAACACGCAATGCTCTCTTACACCTTTGCTCTTTCGACGCCTAGCCATAGAACCAGTCTCCCTCCACGGTGTTAGAGGTCTGGGGACCAAGGAGAAGGGCCGCCGTCAGCCGTCTATCAAGAGGGTAGATGCGCAATGTCCACTGAGTCTCTGGCCCCGCCTCCTCCTACTTCGCATCAACTGACCACACACAAGCCGGGGGACCCACCATCAAACAAGGCTGGGAGCTGATGATGACCCTAGGTCCCTTGGGGAGAGGTAGCCTTGAACCAGTGCCACTTTCCTCTGCTGACCATGCGAGTGAAGTCCTCAGCCCTGCTGTTTGCAGGTGAGGAACTCAAAGACACCGACTTGGCCTGTCTTGAGAGGAAGGGCCTGGCGAGGACCAGCTTACAGGAGCTCAACTGGCATGAGCCAAATGGCTCCCTAGGAACCATGTTACCCAGCCAGGTCCTACACCGGTTTCGTTCACAAACTGTCATGTCCACTCTTGGATGCCTGCTGCTGGCCTGCTGCTCTCCCCCAGGGCATCCAGCTTGCCATACAGGTCAGGAGACTTAAGGTGACCTGATTTAAGGGCCAGGAGTCTTAAGTTCAACATCATCTTCCTTCCCCTCCTTTCTTAAAAACACACAGACCGGTCTCTCCTTAAATTTCCATGTATTGTGTTTCCATCAACACCTGGGGCTTGTGGTATATACGGTCCCCACAGTCCTCGAGGTTTCGTGTACACAAAGGCCTTTGTTTCTCACGAGTTAAGAATTATACTGTTTGAAGCCGGGCAGTGGTGGCACACGCCTTTGATCCCAGCCCTCGGGAGGCATACCAGGCAGATCTCTGTGAGTTCGAGACCAGCCTGGTCTACAGAGTGAGTTCCAGGACAGCCTCCAAAACAATACAGAGAAACCCTGTCTCGAAAAACCAAAAATAAAAAAATAAAAAAAGAATTATACTGTTTGAAAGACACACACGTACATAAACACACACACACCACCACCACCACCACCACCGCCACTGCCACCACAGAGCCAGCCTGTGGGGACATCCAACAACTCTGAATGCTGCTAAAAGCCCAACTCCAGGCCCAGAGAAGTGGAGCAGCCCAAGGTGGCCCCTTCCCAGCGTTCCCTTCAACCCTCTGCAACTCTCCTGGCTCTCCTATACTCTCCTTTCATACAGGTTGGCCTCTAGATGTTTCATTTTGTTAATTTCATTGTTGAATTTACACCCTCTCATATGCAGATTTATTCGGGTCATTGAGAACCAAGTAGAAGTGTCTTCAGCCCAGAGGAAAATGTTAACAGAGGGGCTTTGTAAAATACTTATTTTAAGTATTTTAAAATGCATGCCTTTAATCCCAGCACTCGTGAGGCAGAGGCAGGTGGATCTCTATGAGTTTGAGACCAGCCTGGTCTACAAGAGCTAGTTCCAGGACAGCCTCCAAAGTCACGGAGAAACCTTGTCTCAGAAAAAAAATACTTTATTTTTAACTGTGTGTATCTGTATCTGTGTGTATCTGCAGATGCCCTCAGAGATCTGAGGTACTGGATCCTCCTGGAGCTGTCTGGTGTTCTTTAAGCCATCTCTCCAGCCTCAAAGGGCACTTTTAGGAAATGTTTTAACTTTTTTACAGTTCCACTTATTTTTTTTATGTGTGTGGGGGTCATGCATGCATAGCACACACGTGGAGGACAGGGAACAATTTTCAGGAGTCCCGATCTATCCTTCTACCGTATGGATCCAAACTCAAGTCGCCAACTGGGTGGCAGGCGCCTGCCCTGCTAAGCCATCCCGCCAGCACAGGAGGTATTTCTTCTCAAAGGAGAAACGCTACTTTTCTAATTTTCTATAAGAAGTGAGAAACCAGCTGGTCGGCAGCGGTGGCACACACCTTTAATCCCAGCACTCTGGAGGCAGAGGCAGGAGGATCTCTGCGAGTCCAAGGCCAGCGTGGTCTACCTACAGAGCAAGTTCCAGAACAGCCAAGACTACCCTGAGAAACCCGGTCCCCCCCCCCAAAAAAAAGGTGAAAAGCCATCATCTCAGCCCCAGAGTCACTTGGGCCACACCGTCTGCTCTCCACAGGAAAAGAACCCCGAGTGCAATCGCTGAGCAGAGGCTCCTAAGCCCCGGTTAATCCGGCAGAGAATGATGACAGCAATTTTATAATGTAAATTTGTTTGTGATCTGTTTTTAGTCTTTATTCCCTTTGGAAGGGATGGAGATAGAGGGATTTGCAATGTATTAAACCGTTTCTCTAACAATTGCCTCTTTGTAACCAGCCGTTGTTTTCCAACACCTCGATGGCAGTCTGCTCTGGAAACTGGAAAGTGAATACAAACTCACCTCCAGAGGAACAAAACCCACGTTACCAAGAGCACAGAAAATGGTTCAAATGATTAGCTAGCTGACCTTCTAAGCCAGTACTGTCCCTGCAGTAAAAGTGATTCAGGTCGGTGCTCTGCCAGCCTGAAACTTCCCCCCCGCCCGGGGCGTACTTACTTGTGTCATATAGAAAACCTGTTTTTGAGTGACTACCAGAAAGGAGGGTGACAGTTGTGGGTTGCATATGTGGAAGAGAGCCAGCATTGCCCTGTGTCACTGTCGATGTTCTCCAAGATTATACCTTTGTAGACCACTGGGGCTCAAGCAGCCAGGGTCTGCATTTTGGGGAGGCATGGCCATCACAATGTAACGTTGAGCTGGGTGCGACCCTTGGGTGGCCTAGGTTGCCAAGACCCTCAGGTCACCTGGCATGCCCACCCTACCCCAACTTAGGGGCTCAGAATAACAGCCAGCACATCAGAGAACATCTACCTAATGTATCCTTCTCCCCGGTTTCTACCTCTGAGTCCCACCTTGTCTAAAGCAATGAAGCCACAGCCGTCACCCTCCCCGTAGGAGAAACTGCAGCCAGCCTACCCAAGCCGCAGGTGCCCAGGCCAGCCAGCATGAGCATGCAGGCACTTCCTCCCTGAGCCAAGCTGCTAAGCCTGCCTCAAACGCCCAGAGACTGCTGACCAGAGACACCAATGGTGTCTCTGAGCCAATAGGACCTTGGGAGGGGGTATAAAGGCAGGTCTAACTTCCTGAATAAAGAGTCTGCTGCACACTCTGCTACTCACTGACACCCAGCGTCTGAGTCGTCGGTCGGTGCTGTGTCTTCTCACCCTCTCCCCCAGGGGTGTCCGAGCAGCGTCACCCGCAACACCTCCCGAGGCCCCTGATTTAGCCTGTCATGAGGCTAGTCTCTCTAGTTCCACAAGGACCACTTTTACCGTCCTCAACAGAGACTGCCCAGTCCGGATTTTTTTTTACCAAAATGCTAAGGCACGCATGAGACCTATGAT